GAGAGAGCTCAAGGACATACCAAAAAGTGCATATCAGAGCTGCTTCACAGACTGGAAAAAACGCTGATACAAGGGGGACAAAATAAAAATTGATGAATACATTTTTTTTGAGAAAAATGAAAATTCGTTTTTTTTACAGACTTCCTACTTCCAGTATTTGAAAGTTTATTGAACAAAATATAAAGTGGTGTACTTAAAAAAACACATTTTTTAATGTTCTGGACCAGGGCTCACTTTAAAAGGCAGTTTTTTCCAATAAAGAAATATATGTCAATTATTTTGATGACTCGAGGTGAGATTTAAAGATTCAAAAAAACTGAAATAGTTATAGTTATTATTAAATACCGATGCAAAATAGTTAATGCTAAATAGTAATTACCCAAATCCAGGGCTGAAGCACCAGTAGTTGAGTACTTTCCCCCCTGATTTTGCAGTTGCTTTCGATAGCCAATCTGATCTTCTCTTCTTGACTTCTTCCTCTGTCACATGTAACTGAATAATTATTGAAAATGTATAACGTGAAAACATAAATCCTTTTACGATTACACTACCTTATAACATTTATTTACTTTCTGCCTGAATTCGTCAGAAGTTCCGAGAAAAATGACTTTGATAATATCTTCAAACATACGAAGATTATTTCCTTTTCTCGCGAAAGGACCTTCACTCACGGTAGATAGAAATTGAACTATATTGGCAATCAGACCTGTTACGCTGTAAAAGTTTTCTGCCGTAACCTGTAAATACACTGTTACTCCATAAGACAATTTTGATATAAGAAAACTCACCCCAGCTTTGCCAAATAACTCAAAAATATAAGTCCCTTCCAAAGTTGTTCCTTCGGGTCCACTCTTCAATTCGATTTTATCGATTTCTTTTTCTAAATCCAAAAAAAATTGCTTCAGATTACACAATTGGTCGGGATCGAAATCTTTCGGAGAATCGTCGAAACTCAATGACTCGTTTGCCATCATTTTCATTATGGCGGTCACCTCTTCAATTGCGAGGGTTACGTCTGAGGATTTTATCTGTAGAGAAGCAGATTCTTCGCAAATTTTCTCTACGTTGTGCGCCTCATCCAGAATCACCACTGCATCGGACAGTTGAATTGCTAAATCGAAAACATTAGTGCCTTTCGAACAGATAGATGATAATGATAATAGTAATAATAATATGCTTTACTGCTCAAATAACCACAGGCTTTATTGAAAAAGGTGCAAATTTTCTTCAGACACTACAACTATACACATACACACGCTCGCTTCCTCCCTCCCTTCTTCACTCACTGACTGACTGATCGACCGACAGAACGACTGACTCACGCATTTGACTGAATGCCCGACTCACTGCCTGACTGTCTCAATGTCTGATACGGATTGACTGACTCACTATCCTACTGACTCATCGTCTGACTCATTGAATGACTCACGGACAGTATCATACCGACTGACTGACTCACTCACTGACAGACATACCTACTGTCTGACCGACTTAACTGCGTGACTCAGACTGCCCGGCCGACTGACTGCCTCACTGACTGACCGGCTGGCTCAGTCACTATTTAACTGACTGACTCATTGGCCGAATGAATCACCTACTGACTCACTGCCGATTCACTCATTGACCGACTGACCCGCTGACTGAACTTCTCGCCTGACCCACTGACTCGATAACTGACTGACTCACTGATTGAACTGCCTGTCTGACTCACTGACCACCGCTTGACTGACCAACCGACTCACAGATTGACTGCCCGACTGACTTGACTCACGGACTGAATAACTTACCGACTCACTCACTCGCCGACTGACTGACTTACAGACTCACTAACCAACTGACTCGCCTCATGACTCACGGACTGACTGCCGACTGGCTGGATGACTCACTCACTGTCTAACTGACTGATTCACTGTCTGAATCACGCGCCGACTGATTTACCGACTGACTCATTGACTAACTAACTGAACTGCCCGCCTGACTCATTGGCTGCCTGACTCACCGACTGACTGACTGACTCACTGCCTGACTCACGTATTGACACTCACTCACTACGAGTCAAAATAAATTTTTTCCCTATTTGATGTAGTATATTATTTTGTATGTATATTGTGTATGTAATTTGTTTTAAGTTGCATTTGATTTTTGTTGGACCTTATGTTTTCATTTTCAAGATTTAACTCACCCATAACTTTTCTAATAACAGGATCCAGTAAATAGTTATAGGGCATGAATACAATATCTGCTTGTTGTTTGAGTTCCTTAGCCATATAAAATGGGCAGAATTTATGCAAATTTCCTAATTTGACTATATCTTCAATATCCATTATATTTACCCCAGTTATGTCAGGGTCATCTTTCTTCTTCTCTACCCTGTTATAAAGGTGGCAAGACCTCGTAAGAACTTTCAATTGGCACATTTGGTTCTGAAAATATTCATATTCTAAATCTATTATAAGTATGTATGTATGTATTTTATTTGTCAATATTACATAAAACTGTGTTTTGACAAGTCACTGACTACAATTAACAATAAATCTAAAAAAATATCAAATAATAGTCAAGAATAAAAGATGAATATATAATATAATACAAGAAATATTCACAAAAATTAATATTTGAATTTATAAATTTATAAAATACACTTATAATGTACAATATTGTATTGTGATACCACTGTATTGTCATGTTTCGCTACACAATAACACCTTCGGGCGTCACAAGTCACAATATTGTATTGTGACAACACAATACTGTATTGCCAAAAACTGTACTATGATAATACAATAGAATTTCAACTTAAATATTAGGATAGTGTGACTGTCAACTGCTTTACGTAGGTCATCAAAAACAGGGAGGGAGTTGTTATGTTTGAAAACAGCACGAGTCATTAAGTAAACAATTTACTTTGTTAAAATTTTACAATATATATTGACATTGTCATTATTTGTCCACTATAACGATGGAGTCTTTAATTATGTATTTATATATAATTATGTATATGTATATGTCTGCCAATAAGCTTATGTACTTGATTGATTGCTATAGGGTCTAAGTTCAAGTAAATATATTGAAATTTATAAATACCTTATAAGTACCAGTTTCCTTTGCCAGCTCCGGAAGGGTGCATAACTGATCTCTAGATCCTAACACGCAAGCTTTCATGTTGCTGTAAGCAGTTCTCTTCAATTCCTGCATAGCTTGAGACAGCTGGGAATGCGTCCTCGAAGCATAAATTATAGTCGGTAAGCCTGACATACTCCTGCTGTTCATTTGTTTTTCAGTGAGATCTTTTGCTTTCCAGAATTCCGCTGTGAATTCATTTTCGTTCAAGTTCCCCACCATCTGACGCTGAACACGTAACTGGTCCTTCTTCAACTGGAGCCAGGCTAGGGTCGAACATAGTAAAGAAAGGGTTTTTCCTGTACCGGTTGGCGATTCAAGAACTCCGTTGGTTTGGTTTTGTAAGCACTCCAAAACTTTTTCCATGTACTCTTTTTGAATGTCATAAGGTTCAAATGGGAAAGTTATGGGTACACCTCTCAAAGTTACAGTTGTCATCGTGAATTGAAAGTTGGATAATACGGGTTGAGATTTTACAGAATTTATTTGTTCAAATTAGACATCCTGTAAACATCTAATCACTCTAACCTTTAATAATAATGCATTCAAGAAATTGCCGCGATTTTTCAAGCAGTGTTGCCGCAACCCTTAGAAAAAAGTACTAGAAGGCTAACTAAAATAATACTAGATCGAATAAAAAAGTACTAAAAAGGCAAATCGGTGAATATATAATATGTTCAACATATATCGGCCCTTTGTCTTGGTGAAGTTGCAGTTTTACGTTAATTTCAAACCTTAATTTCATAATAATAAATAATTGAGTGACAGTAGGTGAACAGTGAACACCAAAGTGACAATCGACAAGAAAATGTTAAAACAATCAGTTTTCTTTCACTGATTATTCATAAACTGAAGAGATGTAACATATCTTGGCATAGCAATGTTTACATTTGGAAACGATTCTTGTACCAACAGGTATACAAAGTTGGTTCAATCTCATTTCTCGCGTCGAGAGATTTTGATAAAAAGACAAAACAAAAACCAATTGGTATAAGCATCACGGTTTCTTTGCATCTTTGTCTATCTCCACGTCTACGTCAAGGTCAAGACTCCATTTGACAATGTTGACATTTGTTATCAATAATATAATAACCTAACCTTTATATACTGCCAACTATGCAAGTGTGAAATAAATATTTGAATATTAGAACTATTTCTCAAGGATATCTGAGAATGGATATCAATTTAATGCTTTGGTTGTTTTGTGGTTCCGCTCTGTTTTTTTCTATATTTTTATCTGTAAGTTTTCTGTGTGGAATTTGAGTTTTTTGGCATTCTGATGCTGTTTTCAGATTTGCATCATTTTAATTTCAACGNCCATATGGAGCTGGATACAAATGGGTGTGGACTTGGGTCTTATTTGGTTGAGGTATACCATAGGAGCTTGGAAGATAAAACCAATGAAGACAGACTAATACACTTTAATGCATTTAATAATTTTGTATCATAGTACATTAAAATAATTGTATTCAGTAACTGTATTATTGTGTATGCATCTTTTGGATATGACTTGATATAGGTAGTTATGTCCGCTGATTACGAATCTGAAGTCAAAATGTGGCACTCTGGTCTACTTTCGGAGATTCTGCCAACCAAAAGTCGAAAAATTGACTATTTCAGGACCTTACTTCTGGTGTAATAAAAACTTGTAAAATGACACCTTCTTTCACTATTGCATACTTAGTACCTTCATTCACTTCCCACTTCCATTTTTACAAACTATATCATTATGGATCAAAGAATGTAAACGTTCACGGCCGGCGATAGCTGTGTGAAAGCAATTTTCTCGGTTTTCTGGCCATGGATTGCAGGTGTTTGAGCCTGACGTTTTGTCTACTACTGCGGCAGACATCGAAGGCGATGTAGTAACGCATTAACTAAGATGCTTGTATTTGGCTCTGGTTTTATATTATTAGTGGGCGTGGCTTGGTTTCTATCAATTGAGGACAGGTAGCCAGATTTTGTTAATGTTCATTGTCTTTATTGAAATTATCCCTGTTTTTGAACCTCTATTGCCTCTTTATATAAGTACTCTTGGAAAGTAATTTTGAATTCTATCGAGTATTACTGTATCTTTGAATGAGATAATGTGGGGTGTCTTCTTTGTTAAGAGCATGTTTGGCTACATTGTAGTTGGTTATTGTTGTTTGTTTTATTATTAAATGATTAGAAAATGGGAGATGTGAAAAAGACATTTATAAAGGAGTCAGAAAATGTTGACTGTTTCAATGATTGCAAAAACAAGGCCTACAATTGTAGTGAGAAACTTTATATATTCCCGATAGATCCCAAAAGGTCAGTAAGTACCTAATGAGTTGTTCAATCTGTATGATTTTTATTCTAGGGCAAAAATATGATTGGAAGCATGTTGCAGACCTGATTTGCGTAACAAATTAGAAACACTGCACAGAAACAATTATCGTTTATAAGGCATTCATTGTGAAAATGATGTGATAATAAGCAGCCATAAGAAAAAACTACGACAGAATGGCGTACCAACGATACTTATCTGGAGATCAGAGTCAAGTACTGATATAATTATGATAATGTCGTTTATAATGATTATGTTATTAAACAATACCTTTTACTGTTTTGCCATTTTCACACATTTAAAACTGCGGTGAACATTTTCGTAAACGGCCAACGGCCGGATTTTTTGCTCGGGCTGGCCGGAAGGCGATGTCAACACATGTGTGAACCGCATGTTTCAAGGGTTGGGCTCTTGAAGAGTCGGTGAAATCGCCGTACGGAATAAGTAACCACAAAATCTTCTGTAATATCTTAAAATTTCGTATTTATATGCGCGCACGCTTATGGTAAAAGAACGATATCGGCTCCGCACTTCATTTCGAGGTCACCAAGAACTTTGTGAATTTATTAATGCAACTAGTGGGAGTTGACTTACTGGTTGATTATTTTTACTGTGGTTCAGTGTTGGGTAATAACAGTTTCGCTGAAAAGTTCATAGGCTTATTATATTATTCCGCGATTTTTCAAGCAGTGTTGCCGCAACCCTTAGAAAAAAGTACTAGAAGGCTAACTAAAATAATACTAGATCGAATAAAAAAGTACTAAAAAAGCAAATCAGTGAATATACATTATGTTTGGCATATACCGGCCCTTTGTCTTGATGAAATTGTAGTTTTACGTTAATTTCAAAACCAAAGTGAACCCCAAAGTGACAATCGACAAGAAAATGTAAAGACAATCCATTTTCTTTCACTGATTATTCATAAAATAAAGAGATGTAACATATCGTGGCATAGCAATGTTTACATTTGGAAACTATTCTTTTACCATCTATCAACATGTATACAAAGTTGGTTCAATTTCATTTCTCGCGTCGAGAGATTTTGACAAAAGGACAAAACAAAAGCCAATTGGTATAAACACCATGGTTTCTATGCATCTTTGTCTATACTCCACGTCTACGTCAAGACTCCATTTGACAATGTTGACATTTGTTATCAATAATATAATAACCTAACCTTTATATACTGCCAACTATGCAAGTGTGAAATAAATATTTGAATATTAGAACTATTTCTCAAGGATATCTGAGAATGGATATCAATTTAATGCTTTGGTTGTTTTGTGGTTCCGCTCTGTTTTTTTCTATATTTTTATCTGTAAGTTTTCTGTGTGGAATTTGAGTTTTTTGGCATTCTGATGCTGTTTTCAGATTTGCATCATTTTAATTTCAACGTCCAAAGTGTATCCTGTGGTAGTCAGAAGCAAAAAAGAGAAGTATTTCGTGAACCCAAATGATGGAAAGCTTGCAGAATTCCCATCTATTTACGACAAATCAACCGTACATTTGAGTGTTATCGTACCGGCTTACAATGAAGAAGAAAGACGTAAGAATCACATATTTAAATGTTTAGACAATAGTGAAAAAAGGCAGGTTTGTTTATCCTTATTTGACAATCACAAGCAAATTACCAAAGAAAAACTGTCTTCAAGTAGAATTAAAACCTTTCTCTTTTAGTTACCCCAATGCTGGAAGAATGTACACAATTTCTACAAAATCGATGTGAAAATTCTAATTTCAGATATGAAATCATTGTAGTAAGTGATGGCAGTACAGATCATACTGTAGATTTGGCCCAAAAGTATGCTAGTAAACTTGGAACCGATACAATTAGGGTATTGGATCTGGAAAAAAATCGAGGCAAAGGAGGGGCTGTACGATTGGTAAGTTTTCTATTTAGATTGGCATAATATTATTTTGAGAACTGTATTTTGGGCTCGCTAAAGTCGCTATAAGAAAATGAAATTTTTATAGGGTATGCAAAGTGCGAGGGGGGCTCTACTTTTGTTTGCCGATGCAGACGGGGCCACCACGTTTTCAGAATTGAAGAAACTAGAGGAAAGTTTATCCCAACTCATAAAATGTACGTTTTTGTTACCTAGTCTTATAGAAAACAAACAACTAACCTATCCTTTCAGGCGACTATTTGAAAGAACCCTTTGCAGCTGAACAAAATAGCGCAATTTCTATCGGTTCAAGAGCTCATTTGGAAGAGGAAGCAGTAGCATCTAGAAGTTTTTTCAGGACCATTTTAATGCATGGATTCCACTTCATAGTTTGGCTTTTTGCCGTTAGGGGGATTAGAGACACACAGTGTGGTTTCAAATTGTTTACGAGGGAGGCTGCCAGAATTTGTTTTGATAGTCTTCACGTGGAGAGGTGGTAGGTGTAATATTCGTATTTTATGTCCAAAGATGAGTTGGATTTTGTTACGTAATGTACCCAAAATAAGAGGGTATATGGTGCAAAACATTTTTTATTCAAAACATTATATTATTCAAACTGGGAGGGGCTAAGAATACTGCCTTCTACGTACATAATTGTTGTCATAAATTTCATTTCTAGGGCATTCGACGTTGAACTGTTGTATATCGCTCAAACTTTGAAAATTCCAATTTCTGAGGTGGCTGTGAAATGGACCGAGATTGATGGTTCGAAAGTCACTCCCATATGGAGCTGGATACAAATGGGTGTGGACTTGGGTCTTATTTGGTTGAGGTATACCATAGGAGCTTGGAAGATAAAACCAATGAAGACAGACTAATACACTTTAATGCATTTAATAATTTTGTATCATAGTATATTAAAATAATTGTATTCAGTAACTGTATTATTGTGTATGCATCTTTTGGATATGACTTGATATAGGTAGTTATGTCCGCTGATTACGAATCTGAAGTCAAAATGTGGCACTCTGGTCTACTTTCGGAGATTCTGCCAACCAAAAGTCGAAAAATTGATTGGTTTCTATCAATTGAGGACAGGTAGCCAGATTTTATTAATGTTCATTGTCTTCATTGAAATTATCCCTGTTTTTGAACCTCTATTGCCTCTTTATATAAGTAGTCTTGGAAAGTAATTTTGAATTCTATCGAGTATTACTGTATCTTTGAATGAGATAATGTGGGGTGTCTTCTTTGTTAAGAGCATGTTTGGCTACAGCTGATTTGTCGGTTTGTCCCAGTCGACAATTTCTCTTGTGTTCAGAGAGACGGCTATCTTCACTCAAAATTGAGACAATATATAGAAAAGAAGAGGTAATGAACATCAATGAAATCTCGCTACCTGTCCTTAGAGGTACACAAAGAAAGTCAGGTAATCCAATTAAGATCTGAGCCTCGACCAGTAGGAATAATAACGGGTGATTTTTTAAGAGGTATATGATTTGATTTTCAAAACAACACGAAACAATTGATGAAATCTTTATTGGAATCGATGAAATTATCAATATAATTTAATGTTTGAAGATGATTTCATGTAAATATTGTCCGCGGCTCCGCTCTCTAACATATCAACCAGTATTTCACGTATAAATGCTTCAATATTGGCTTCCAGAGCGTCAGTTGTTGCTGGTTTATCTCTGTAGTCATGAGTCTTAACATGAACCCACAAGAAATAATCCATAGGCGAGATGTGAGATAAACTGTTCACCGAAGGCGGCTCTTAATTGGGCCATTGTTTTGCGTGCCGTGTGGCATATGGCACCGTCTTGTTGAAACCACATGTCAGGCATGTCCATTTTGGTCAACAAAAAGTCGTCAATCATCACACGGTAGCGCTCACCATTCACAGTAACGTTCCGGTCATTGTCGTCTTTGAAGAAGTACGGCTCGATGATGCCACCGACCCATAATCTACACCAAATAGTGACTTTTTTGGGATGCATCGGTAGCTCTTGCAATGCTTGTGGCTGTAGATGCGGCAATTTTGCTTGTTAACGTATCCATTCAAACAGAAATGAGCCTCGTCGCTGAACACAATTTTTCGATAAAAATGTGGATCTTCCTCCAACTTTGCCAGCGCTCATTCACCAAATGTTAGACGTTGTGGGAGGTCGTGTGGCTTCAATTCTTGCACCAGCTGTATCTTATAAGGTTTTACACCCAAATCTTTTTGCAGAATTTTCCACGTAGTGGAGTAACAGAGACCCAATTGTTGCGAATGGCGGCAAATCGACATTTCACGGTCATCACGAACACTGGCGGATACAGCCGCAATATTTTCATCAGTCCTCACTCTACGTATGCGTGATGGTGGTTTAATGTTCAATAATGTAAACTGGGTTCGAAATTTAGTCACAAGCTTCCGAATAGCTCCCTCAGTAGATCGGCGAAACTGCCTATGAATTAGAAGAAGTGCACGATGCACTTTCTTCACCGAGCATGCATTTTGATAATAAAATTCAATAATTTGCAAGCGTTGTTCATTCGTAAGTCGATTCATGGTTAATTTATAGACCAAACTGAACAAGTTTGACATGACAATGACACGATTCACGCGTGATCTGTCAAAAACAGTGTTGGCAAAAAAAACCAGCAAAAAAATCACTCATTATAAACCAGGGTCAAACAAGCAATGTAGTTGATGCGTTTGGGACAACGGGAGCACCAACTCGGGCATTGCAATCGTTACCACATTGCCTTTTTGTGTCTACTGCAGTAGTAGACGAAACATCAGGCATAAAAATCTATAGACTACGGCCAAAAAAATTGGAAAACAGCTTTCACACACTATATGTTTGTTCTAGTTCTCAGTTCGTACTGTTTCGAATCGTCCTAAATCAGTAAGTCAGTTGTGGTCTGAAAATATTTATGCGGCAACACGTTCAGTATTCAGTTGGGTGACTGGTTTATGATTGTTAAGAACAGTTCCGACAGACAACCAAAACATGCCTTATATCATAATTGTGTACGAAAATAAATACAGTCTCACAAGATACTCTCTCATTAGTTGTATTGGCAGTGTTACGATTTACGAATTAAAAATAATCGATAATTCGAATTTCATAATAACTAAAGATATCGAATCGAGTATCAAGAAATTCTTATTCTTCATCTAATCATATGGTCGTTACTTCATTATTAGGGCGCATTTGACCATATTATGAATCAATTTGACATCGCAGAAATTAAACATAAACATAGAGCTGTTCTCGATTGCTTGTACCAGAACCACAACTGTTTCACATATTGTCATTCTCAAGTCAACCGCTGCTAGAAGGTGTTTTTGAAATGAAACATTGTAATTCACAATAAACATCATAGTTCAATCTAATAAGGTGAATGCACATATTGAACAAGTACTGTATTATCGAGTGATTTTACTGCGCATTGCGAGTGATTTATAATTCGTATGATAATTCGATTATTCAAACAGTTCGATTACTAATAATTCGATTATGTCTATCACTATTACGGAGTTATTCAAAAAAATGAAAGAGCTGTTGTCAAATTTATACATATATTAAGAATATGTGAAATCCACCTTCTGTGCAATATACTGGTGCAACACGTTTTAACTTTAGATCCGTGATCAGCGGACCAAAGTATGCTGTTCATATAAAACTTATTTTTTAAAACAGCGCGACGCATACCAGAAACAATTACCATGTGATTACAACAGTCATTCATTAAGAGGAATCGACATTATGAATAATTGGACTATTCATTAATTCATTTAAGTAACATTTCTGTACCATTTTATTATTTGAACATATATCTATCTACTTTAATTTTTATTCCAAATTGTCCAAATTGCCTACGTACTTCCTGTAGGCTTTTGGTTGGAAAATTACTGAAAAAATAAATTTTTATCTAAACTTATCCAAAGCAGAGCAATCTACCTATTTATAACAATTAAATTTAGACATACGGTTAATTTGTTGCCTGTTTTGATATGATGAGCCTGCTATATTGTTCAATTATCGATAATTGATGTCAAAAGTATTTTTCTGTGAGTAGCTTTAAGTGGTACCTAGACAGTATTACTTCCAAAGTGACTTTAAATTACGTGGACGTGGATATAAACTTTTATGTAATTCGTTCAGAATGACAAGAAATCAATTTGATGAGCATACAATTATCGAACATACAAATAGGAAAAAAACTTAAAAAATGTTTCAAATTCTACTTCATTATCATTCACTGAGAAGTTCGGACAAAAAATGGCTTTTGGTTACCCGAAAAATTTCTTTCAAGCTAACCAATTTCTTCAAAAAGTTGCCGGAATATGGTTTCCAGAAAGTGACTACAATTCAGTCTTCAGAATAATGTATCTACTGTACGTTTTGTTTTTTTACGGTATATGTTTAACATTTTTTTATGGCACGTCGATTATGCTGAGCGAAAGTATGAAGAATCTAGGCACTTTTGCTACCCACCTGGGAATCTTGCTGACTAATATAAACGGGCTAATCAAGGTCTTTATCCTGGCTGTACGATGGAAGAAAATTAGGAAAGTAATGGGTGCATTGCAGAATGAGAGTTATCGGTATGTCTCGTTGGGTGAGAGCCATCCAGGCTTTTTGTTGACAAAAGAAATGAAAGTCAACTCGGTGAGTTCATACTTGGTGAGTATCTGTCTCTGTAACATCGAAATTGAAATTTGCAATGGCACACATGTGACATTCGGGAATCACACCGCTATTTATTTTACTTCCACATCATTGTAACACATTTTTCAACAAATGTTTTGTAACTCCAAACTCCCAAGGAACCCATCACTTAGCTTACATAACAGTACACAGGGTGGCCATTACAAGACGGTGCTAGCAGAATAAAATACATTATCAAATCAATAAACTATATATACTTGTTCTGTTCTGTTCAAGTAATAATGTTATAACTATAAGTCCGTCATATAATATTAGCTCATCAGCACGGGGAACTCGCATGGTTTTTTATTCTTTCAAATAAATGATTTGATCCTCAGAAATCCTAATCAGTTAAATTTCTCAAGTTTTTTTTTCTGTATTTAAATTTTTAAATAGCTATATTTTGAACTTGATTTGACCTTGAAGGCTAGCGCCACTCATGATTATCTGATGAACATTCAAAAAACCTGACTACAACTACATCATTACTTAAACTCTCTACCTACTGATAAACAATAGCAAAAACAATTCCTCAAAAGCCTTGGATACTTAAATTTTGACAACTGAAAGGCCCTAATTTGAAGTCGATTTGACCTTGAACGCTAGCGCCACTCATAGTTGTCTTATGGACATTCAGGAAAACCTGACTTTGACCATAATAATACTATAAACTTCAGTAATAATGAATAATCAGTAACAATGAAAAAAATACTTGAATGTCCTACCTCCTGATCAACAATAACAAAAACAATTCCTCGAAAGAATCGGACATTTAAATTTTGACAACTGAAAGGCCCACTCTGTGGAAAATTGGAACTGAGGAAAGTAACGATCCAATTGTCCACCAGGTACCGCCAGAGGTATGTTTTTTGGCATGTTCAAAAATTATATTTGTAACTCCAAAGAGTTTTCATAGCTTTATTGGGGGTAATGTACTTGCTGAAATGAAAATATTCCAAACCTGAGTAGTGCTGCTGCCAAGACAAGAGATTCTTGTCTCTTGTCCCTTCTCTTCTTGTCTCGAACGAGACAAAGGAAGATTTTTCTCTTGCAAAATCGTCTCTCGAGAAAAGACATGCACAGCACGCAAAAAGCAATCTTATTTTTACTCTCGATACTAAACGAAAAATAATTACTATATTTTCAATTTCTCTTTGATATGATATCTGCTCTTTCTACTTGGCTTTAGGGTTCAAACACAATTTTCTGCGGACTACCTTTTCTGTGCAAATAAGTCACCCTGAACGATTCCTGATGGGTGTGAAACGTAATACCTAGAAACCCCATACCTTGTTTAGGAAACAAGAATAACATTTAGTTTCTGGCTATCACGGACTATGCGTTCGAGGGCCAAAAAAAAAGATTCATCTGTATATTTCGTCTAGTATACTTCAATAATTTTATGTACATACAAATATACACATCAATCATACCTACACATGCGCACACAAACTTGGTGAATGTTTTCAGTCAAAAATGTATTGTACATATGTAATTTTGCAGCTTCTCGTAATGTATGGATTCACTGGTATCTCTGGAAACCTAGCAACTTTAATCAAATTGACTACAGAAATAAGAGGAGACGATACATTCGAAACTACCAATAAGACTTGCGATGATTTTTTGTCCTTTATGTACAAAGCTCCATTTGATACCGATACAAAATCCCACTGCATTATAGCATCTATTATCGTGAATTTGGGAATGCTAGCTCAATCAGTCATTCATGCAAGTAAGAAACATTAAATGTATATTCTCGCGCTTTGAGTGGAATCAAATTCGTCTTACCATACGCAAACAGTTAAAGTTCCGGTCTGAATTAGTGAAATTACGGCAGCTGTTCCTCAGGGTAGTGTTCTGGGCCCTACTCTTTTCCTTCTGTTCGTTGATGATATCTCGAATATGAATCCACATTATTATACGAGATTTTCATTGCACTCAGTTCGACGGTGAGGTGAAGGTTTTTCTTTCAACGAAGGCAAACCGCGTACAAATGTTTCAAATTATTGATGAGAGATGAGACCAAGAGCCAGAAACATCTGTGAGTCTGTTGACAGTTACCCACCAAAGTTTCAGCCATTTTGGACGCGCAGTTGTTATGTAACAGTCGTTTAAGTGAGTCGATGTGACATCGCGAATGTTCATCAAATGGTGCTAGACGACCGCCGAATTGGAGTGAGAAATATAACTTTTTCACCGGTATACTTCCGCTAACCAGATCCAGGCAAAAACTGCCTTCGTTGGCTTTATCAAATTCCGAGCACACAAGTTTTATGCTGACGGAATCAATCGACTATTTGTGTTACGTTGGCAGAAGTGCACTGATTCAAAAGAACCTTATTTCGATTAAATTGGATAATTGTTCGCTGATATATTATTACAGTTTGAATTAGACTCATTAAAACGGAGAAAACTTTTGAAACAATCTAATATTTCAATTATGTAATGTTCAGCTCATGACGGCTTCTTCATCGGACTTGTGATTTGTCTGAAAACCCAATTTCGGATCATCGGAAATGTATTGAAGGCAATCCGGGAAAGAAGTTTGGAAAGCATCGGCCTTCCAAGGGATTACTCTATTCTGCACGATGAAAGCAATCCCGTTCTGGAAGAGGAATTGTACGGACAACTATCTCATTGTACTGAACATTTGAAAATACTATTGAGGTGAGTATGGGTACTTTCCGGATGGTTGTCAAAAAATATTTTTTAATATTCTATTTTTCATCAAATAACATTTCTATACGGGCCAAAATAGAGCTTTCCCTGAAATTCCATGAACTAATTATTGTTCAAACATAAATCAAAGTTAATATTGACAGTTTTTGCAGTTTCTAACATATGCAACAGGTGGTGTAACTTTTTTCTTCATTTTGGATTCGAAAAGCCTTTATAATACCGATTAGACGTGGGCTTGAAGGCTTTTTTGAGCTCTGTTTCAATAGTAGCTGAGATAGGAACCAAGTTTGGGCCTATTACGACCTGCCGATGTAGATGATCAAGAATACAATACGTAACATTATCCTGACATGAGTTATTTTAAGAAATAAATTACTTTTTTGATAACTGACGTAACATAACGTCAGATTCCGCTTCAAAACCAACCTCACGCGAATTTTCAATCATCAGGAATATGTTTCAAATCATAGTTGATGTGACGTCATCGTTTCAACGCCAGAATGATTGTATTTGAATGACAGACGAACACGTTTTGAATACATGAACGCAAGAAAACGCCTATGGTTTTACCCCGTTTGACGGTAGCTACAATAAGTTTGTGTGTGATGTGATATTCTTGCAAAATAACACCAAATTCTGATTCTTAGCATAGTATAATCATTAATAAATGGTTCATTTCTATTACCAAAGTACTTTTCCCCATATAAAAACAAGTTCCCCTATTATATTCGTTGTAGAAGCCCCATATTCTTTTGTTAGCTCCTATAATTCACGTAAAAATGTTTCGAGAACTGAAATCTGACACTAAAACTCCAATTCCTAATTTTGTTACAGTGTTCGAGATGACATAGAAAATATTTTCACATTCGTACTTCTGATACAAACCTTAGCTTCGCTATTAATCTTCGCATCCTGCTTGTATGTTGCCTCTGCAGTGAGTATAAAAGAGATTATACCTAAATCGATTCAAGAAACTATACAAAAGAAATGTTCAATAGGGTTATTTCATACATTTTATTTTTTTTAGATTTCTATGACCTCTGCTGACTTCTATGCTCAAATAGATTTCTTCTTTGGTGTATTCGTACAATTTTCTTTCATGTGTTGGTTTGGAAGTGAAATAAGCGATGCCGTAAGTAAAATATTTTATGAAAAAAAGTTCATATGAACGTCTGACCTAACTTGCTTCGTTTCCTATTAACGGGGTGTCAGAGTTTCACTAAAAATATTGTTCTTTTATTAATAATTCACAATTACACACTGACAAAGGTCCTATACCAAACAGTCCATTGTTATATGAAACAATATTCTTTTGGAAATTATCAGGAAGTTTCACGAGAAAATTTCAGGTCGATTTGAATCCAAGAAGATGTGGGATTAAAAGTGAATGTGTATTTAGCCCGTTGGATATAAATATATGACGTTCTGTCACAGTAAAATAATACAACCAGTAGGCTCTCTTACCACTTGACCTGCCTGAGTTGTCGAGGACCTTCAACCGCTCTTAGGATGACATTCTCATCCTACGCGTTCAGTGCTGTAGTATCGAAGGATTCGACGGTCCCATGGGCATCGGATTAGTTATAATAAACGGTCGGAAATTGATATTGTGTTTAGTTTATTCGCTGTTGTTTTTATTGTTTTTAGTTTTTGTAGTTGGTTATTGTTGTTTGTTTTATTATTAAATGATTAGAAAATGGGAGATGTGAAAAAGACATTTTTAAAGGAGTCAGGAAATGTTTGCTGTTTCAATGATTGCAAAAACAAGGCCTACAATTGTAGTGAGAAATTTTATAGATTCCCGATAGATCCCAAAATGTCAGTAAGTACCTACCTAATGAGTTGTTCAATCTGTATGATTCTAGGGCAAAAATATGATTGGAAGCATGTTGCAGACCTGATTTGCGTAACAAATTAGTAACACTGTACAAAAGCAATTATCGTTTATGTGGCATTCATTTTGAAAATGATGTGATAATAAGCAGCCATAAGAAAAAACTACGACAGAATGCTGTACCAACGAAATTTACTGATATAGTTATGATAATATCGTTTATAATGATTATGTTATTAAACAATACCTTTTACTGTTTTGCCATTTTCAATTTTAGGAACCTCTGAGACAGACGACACATTATCATTAGATTTGGCCGTCCCTTCTACTTCAAAGTCATTCCCAAATTCTTATTTTTTGTTATTTCACATGAGTACTTATTTGCAACACATTATATTATATGTATCTACATTATTCAAGACAAGAGCGAAGAAAATGAAACATTATCGACGCATGAATTCGGGTTTTTCATGGTGGAGCAGTTTCAAATACCGCTCAGAAACATCGATTCGTTGTTGTTTTCGGTGGATTGTGAACTCGCGCTGCACTCACTTCGAAAAGAGCTTCCTCATACCCAAATATTCATATATAATATGTCTTTAGAGCCTCAGCTATCTCGGTCAACTTCACTTTGCAGTCATCCAAAATCATTTTCGTCCTCTTTTGGAGCGTCCACTGCATGCATCGTCCTCGGTGCTCATTTTATCTCAATTAAACTTAGCAAACCGCTTCTCAACGGTTGATTTTCCTGGTGCAAAGTCCGAAAAATGTTTATCAAGCCAAGCCTTGGCTTCAACAGTGTTTTTTTGCCAAAAAGCAATGCTTCATTAACACACGAACTTCATTTTTATCCATTTTCTTCAATCTAACATGTTCTAAACTAAAAACTAATAGTCCGACAGCTGTGAAGTTTATACCCATGTCTTTTAAAGGTTAGATTCAGCTAAAAATCATATGCATTCAATACTAGTATCGCCATCTGTGTGTTAGCCTACGAACTTTTCATCTAGTAGTATAGCTCATCTCCTGAAAGCACCAACTTGGTTGGTGCAAGTTGCGTGGAGAAAAACCGTTGCAGTTATGGTGTTTGGGAGAAGTGCATGTTTTAGAAAATTGGGAACTGAACTGGAACTTTATTATTTCAATATTTTATAGAGTGAAAATATAAATTTGTCGCTGTACGAAAGTGACTGGCTCAGTTGCAGTCCTAGATTCAGGAAGTCCATGATTTTCACCATGATTCGAATGCAACGATCTCTGTATTTTTCCATTGGAAAGTTTAGTCCGCTCGACTTGACTACGTTGGTTATGGTGAGTTTTTACAAACTTTGAACACAAAAAAAACAATCTAAAATTTCTGTATTGGGTTCTAAGACGGTCATTTTGAGGACTTTTTAATCTAAATCCGATCAAAACTATGGCTCAAATTTGGCATGAATATGTGGGCAAGATAGCGTCCGCCAAGATAGCTCTCAGGGAGCAAGAATTTTTCCGACTTACCTAATATTTATGTAGGAATGTTTCAATTGACACGTCAAGAAGAGTAGTTCGACCACGCCACTGAAGACGACCGCTGCAATTGCAGTTGAAACGTTTGGAGATTATAACCAAAGGGGATCACGGCAAAATCCGGAAGCCAATCGAAACATTAATACTTATCGTTATATTACGAGCAAAATTACACAAAACTTTGCGAATTGTAGCGTATATGTTATTTTGATGTATAAGCTGTCTTCATGTAAAGTTTCATCTAAATACGTTCAGTCGTTTAGGCGTGAAACTGCCACAAACATACATTTATCCATCCTCACAAATTTTCACAATTATAATATTAGTATAGATGTTAGAGAATATAGTTCTCCGACGATCCCATAGATGACGTCTCTGTAAGAGGACATAGTTCTCTGACGATTCCATAGATGGCGTCTCAGTTCAAGTTTTCCAATTTTCAAAATGGAAACTATTTCATCACTTCATTTTCCATGATTGTATCTACCAAACCCCACCAGGTTAAATCCTGCTATTATCGTTTTCTGTTTTTTGGATAGCACGCTCGTATCGAACTGACGAAATCTCAATCTATTAGTTGTTTTATTCTATTAGTTGTTTTTTCATTTATTCTGTATCATCGTGTGATATAATTTTCAGGTCTGTCGTGGGTCATTCTCCTACTATATGTTATTCAAGAGTGTCCAGTAATGAACCAGGTGTCCTGGAAATATAACTAGCACAGCATTTCGCACCTAGCTATGAATCAACGGAAGTCACTCATTCATTATTTATAAATGGCATTCAATCACAGATAGACAGGTGTTTATCTGATTGAATCAGGAACATTAAACATAATTTGTGTTTCTTAATGCAACCAAGAAATACACATATCAGTGAAAATGGAACAATATCACCGTAGATTGCAATGTAAAAAAATACAATACAAACCTCATCCAAAACAACTAGTTGTTTGATTTTCAAAAATTTCCCACATTACAAAATTTATTGAATTGATAGAGGTACAAGGGCGGTCTGGAACGTTTCCAACTTCAACATGAAGATGGCAGCACCAATAAATAAAAGCTGGCGAATTTCGTTCTCCATCTGACAGTTACCAAAGTTTCAGCCATTTTGGACGCGCAGTTGTTTGATTGAGTTGATGTGGGTGTTTTTATAAAAAAAATATTGAATATTTGTTTTTGAAAGGCAATACGCCTACGCAAATCAAAGATCAATCAATCAATACTTTATTTTCCTGAGACTTTTTTACAAGCATGGAAATCGTCACATAGCTGCTTCTCTAAAGCTTGGAACACTGTACCGAATCTGAAAACTGTACACACCTCAGCAACTTTTGATGCTTTATAAAAGCTCAGATCAGACCTTTTTTGTTGTTCTGATGTATGGAGAACATACCCTGAAGCTGCTGGATTCCATTCAGAAAAGAGCCATCCGCCTGACTGTAGACGCGACCATCACTTGACAACTACTTTAGGATCCGTCCCCGAAAAGGCATATAAGCTCTTATTATGTACAAAACAATCAACACATTCTTCCTTCAATGAAATTTGGCAATCTTCCAAAGAAAGGAAGGAGGCAATCAATTTAAAGAATCAACTCTATGGAAAGATATGGCACAAACGAGTTCAATCTACTCATGTCATCGATGACAGTACGTAATGACATTCGTTCGCTTATTTGATTCAATAACAGCTCCCAGCCATAGGAATTTTGTTTGAAAGGGGTATATTTTTAGGAGAGATCAATAAACGTTTTCAATTCAGTTCAAACCATCACCAATGGCAAGTAGAAACAGCGCCCAAAGAATGCTTTTACTCCGCGGTTTCATCTAACGTAAAATCTGTCAACTCGCAATATTTCTAAATTCCCGTGTCTAAAGAATTTGTGGAAACATCGTCAACGTTGCTGTCAGTTTATACACATCGACGCATGTGCTGTCAGATCGAAAATCGTGTGCACAAAAACGCGTTTCATTTCAAAATAAATAACCCGGTCGGCTGCAGTGTGGTGGATTGATTTGTGAGTGTTTGTTGTGCAGTCGTTCGAGTCTCACTATTGATCTCGTAACCTTCGATTCATTGCTCTAAAGGTAAACAGAATTCAAAACAAATACGTATCAGCTTGCCCTCGACCTGCTTATTCAAATATACGATTCCATATAATATTCGTCAATACATCAAGATAAATGGGTATTTATTATTGAGAAAGTTTTACTTGACGATTTATTTTTGTGTTCGACATTTCGAAATAAATTATATAACAGAATCGCAGAAAGGTCTGTGTATGTCAACGTAATTTTTAGAAGAAAAAAGACCTACTTCACCTGGAAAAGGTGACGGTGTTGCAAATTCGGGAAGAAAAATTGTACTGTCATCAAACGAGAGGTTCGTCAGAAGAAATTATTTATTAATCTATTACCAATGAAACTTATTTCAAGGAACGTTTATGGTTGGGATGAAAATTACATAAAAAACACGCAATGATTCAGTAACAACAATAAGTATTTCGGAATAAAGTAAGTCAAATAGATTAATCTGTAGATGCATAAACTCCTGATAATCAATGCAGGTATTTTAGTTTTTCTTGTATGAATTTGTTTTTTATATATTTTTAAAAATTCAGGGACGGAGTTGTGGCTATTGATTGAGAAAAAAAAATCAAATGTTTTTGTAAAGTTTGTCCTCATATTCAGAGAGCAAATTATACCATAGAATATACCCTCAGGGAGGTTAAATAGGTACTATATATTGAATGTTGGTTGTACTGGAACCAATATTCATTTGGCAGGTTGAAAATAAAGGCAAAGGTACTTACTTAGCACTGATGCTATCCATGGGGGATGAAACTAGACATACTTAACCCTATGATAATATGTGTGTCTTCGGTTTGTTGCACAAAGACAAAACGACCAAACTGGTAGGGGCAAAGATTTTCTTCTTTGGTAGTAACGCGGCTAATGAGAAGCACATCAACAACTGCCTTGAAGACCCTCGTGAATCTTTTCACAAGTTGTGAGCCAAAGTGAGTCAATATAGACTAGAAATTTAACCGATATACAGGGTATCAGGCAAACATGAATGTCTAAATATGTGGGGGAACGACCATAGAGTACAAAATTCTCTTCCGATCAGAATATGGAGCTACAAAAACATATAACATTAAACTAAACAAAAGTTTTGAAACAACTTAATGTAAAGTCCCGTTACTCAAAAGGTCCCTTGCAAGAAAGCGCGGCAAAGAACAAAACAGACCTTCCGATCTACCTCTTCAGAGAGTTAGACATTTTGCCAACAGAGACCATACCGATGGTCGCTTAAAATACTGAATCAAATTTGGAATATATTGCTTTGCTACTTTTTCTATAATATTTATATTGAGTGATTTAAAGAATGTTTCGAAACATTTTTATCAATAAATCAGCGACTTTTTATGAACAAATAATATCAAGGAAATGCCTATAGATATTTTATATCTCTCCAAGAATCAGACTGTAGTTGACTGTTCAAAAAATCAGATTAATGTTCAAATTTCGCGAGCTACGTGAATTAAATTTTTTATGTTGGTACACTCGTATCGAACATTTGTTCACAGTTTCAGTTGTTTAAGCATGTTTAGTTTGTTGGTGCTACCGATGAAAATTTTGAGAAAGTGAAGAAAATAGTTATGGTGAATAGTCGAATCACTTATTTGGGCATAAAGCATGTGGCAGCGAAGTTCTTTTTCAAAATTGCTGAATTTTGACCAAAAAAACCCGTCGCTTGAGCATCGCTCAGGAATCCAGAGTCGCTTACGACGGTCATAACTGGTGACGAATCATGGGTATATGGAGGAGAGCCAACAACAAAAAAAGCACGCCAAATTCGATAAAATGTCAAGGTTTTGTGCACCGTTTTCTTTGATTACCGTGGCGTAGGGCATCAGGAGTTCTTGTCACATGGTCGTACGGTCTATAAGGAGTATTATCTTGAAGTTATGCGCCTCTTGTGAGAAGCAAGTGATTGAATTAAACTTGAAGCATGCTAAGAAAAACGTCTTGTATTGTGAAACTGCTTCGTAGATTGAAAAAATGCTGGCACAAGTGTATTATATCTGAGGGAGACTAGTTTAAAGGGGACAGAATAGAAATTGATGAATGTATACATATTTTTTGAGAAAAATGACACGGTTGACTCTGCAAAAAACTTGTGAATCACATCAAGATTTAAAATTAAACGCACAGCTTATGATCAAATCCTATGCCACTCTCAAAGTACTCTATCCATATAGACAGAGCTTTTCCTTTAGCACAAAAAAGCTACTTTGACAACCGCTTATCCTTTCGAAAATCAACTATGGACACCATGTCTTTGGTCCCTTCTTGGATTTCGCTAATCAGCACAAAATACAACGTGTGCAAAAATCTTGTGTTCTCTTCATTTTGGTAATACGTAAATTTGAACACTTTTTCCAAGCTCGTGCCAACCTTGGTTGGATATCAATGTCCGTTCTCAGGGAATATAACTACTGCAATATCACCTACTCAGTACTGAAATCTAAAATACCTATTTATCTATTCAATAAATTGACAAAGAGGTTAGAGCTCCATCCTTTCAACCTTCGAACTAACGAAAACTTACACATCCCCGTCATTCATCAGCCATGTTCTGAAAATCATTTTCCTTCCTTGCTGTATTTTTTCATAATACGATTACTAAGGATCTCATGCAATGGAAAATGTTCCTCCTGACGAAAATCAAGTTGTTTGCTTAAAAGAGCTCTAAAACAACGCATTTTAAACTTATCATTTTAACCTTTTTCTTAAAAAAAATTATTTAAATACTTAAAAAAGAGGAATGAAATAATGCATTCAACATTTAAAGGGATTCGTTTCTATTTCACCATTGGGCAACATCGGTTATAGCTAATAAAGGACAATTTCATTGTCCTTTATTACCTGTATGAGACAAACAAACATGACATATCTCAGAGACATTCTGTGACATATGACATTTTGTGCACCTAACCTATTTTCCTCTATATAAATACATAACAAAACAACTGTTGTTGATGTGGCTTGTGGAGGTAGTATTGAACTATAATTTATATTTTACCTTAATTTATTTGCTGTCAACTGGGCTTACTTCTACTCTCAATGTCAAATTGAATGTCTGCAGCCATTTGTACCATTTATATTTCTATTAAGATAAGATTAGATTTGGATTAGATTTTTTTATTATTTGGTATGACTATATTAATCAGTCGAACGATTGATCTATTTACAACAGCCGAGAAAAAAATGTTTTCGACGATAAATAAAATTGAAACATTTTTGTTTGAAATAACTTGATTGTTGGTCTGATAAAGAAATTTTTCTTCATTGGTTGTTAAAATCGATTTCCCCAACTTTATTTTTCGTAAAACCATAGTTATTTATAACGATAGATCGACGGTCAATAAAAGATAATCAGTTCGTTCGTAGTTTTTCAAATAGAGGTCAGAACATATTGATCTTACAATTCGAGTAAATGTTTCAATATCAAAGTCGAATGAATCTTATCAAAGTTCATCTGCAGGGGCTTCAGTTAGAATTAATTCGCTTGGAAACATGTACCAGGGATGACGAAAAACAGTTTTGTTTGATGAACCACGTCTTTTTGACTTCAATTGGAGAAATATTCAATCATATATTTCCAAAGACCATGAAACGACAGGGTGTTTCGGTGGCAGTGATACGGAAAGAAAATATTGATTTCTAGGATCGTGACAAAGCATTTTTCACTAAAGCTGGCCATATACGATGATATAAAAATGAAAATCTATACCTACTAATATTATAAATGTGAAATTTTGTGAGGATGAACGGAATTCTTGCTGCCTGAGAGCTATCTTGACGTGCGCTGCCTATACCGTTGAAGTTATAAGCAGAGTTACCGTAAGATTGTTAAATAGTTCTAAATAAAAGTCCGTGGTAGCATACAGTGTGATCGCAAAGTATGGCATAAATTCGATATTTTCAAAAACCAAAGGTCGTTTTACAAAAACCTGAAACACGTCGATTTTGAATTCTAATATTCTACATTTTACAACAAAATTTCATTATACAGGGTAATCCATATTAATGTGATGACGTCATCGGTAATTTTTTTAAATGCAACACCCTATATTTGATGTCAGTTTTAGATAATACGTAACGAGCTGA